AGAGTCAACAGAAAAACAAAGCAAATAGTACCTTCAATGCCCACCACCATCGTCCCTCCCCATCCCCCACCCCCAGGACTGGCTAAAGGGGAATTCAAGGCAATGGAATCTACAGTAAAACTCCTCTTACCTATGTATCCTGTGTGGCTAGGACCTTTCCTAGATGGTCATTTGTCATAAAAGTTAGACTCCTTTATTCTAAGTCTTTTCCAAGGTCCCAAGATCAAGGGACTCCTGCTGGTACCTTAATCCAGTTCTGCTAAGAAATCCCAGATCTTCCTGCTTCCCCAGACACAAGGACCTCACCCCTATAAAAGTCACCAAAAGCCCTGGACAAGGTCCCTAGATTTAAAGTCTTCAGTGCAGCAAAGGGACTATGAGAACATGATTTGTCTTAAATGCCTTGAACTGGTTGGTGGACGGCATCTTTCCTACCTCCACCTCTTCACCGACTAAGCCTTAAATTCTAAGGGAGGCCTCTCATTAATTATCCCGGCAGGTCCCTGCCAGGCCTCCCTTCTAAATAGCTGCCAGATTTCTACATATCACTGCTGCCTTGATACTGAACGTGCACTGACGATCAGGATCACAGAAAACCCTGCAAGCAGTGTCTGGTACCCCGACATTGATTAATAAGCCTTATACTGAGCCTGCTAGGCTGCACATTGAGAAGGATTTGTAAAGAAAACTGCGCTACTAATAAATGTGTGTGTTGTTAGGAGATTGTCCCACCTGAGCAAAAACCAGTACTTTTGGATGTGAGGGGAGAAAAGAACCCGCCCGAAAGCACTCCAATCTAACCAGCAATAATACGGAGTTGCAGTCAGAAGCAAGAGCCTAAAAGAGATAAATAACGCCTCTGTTTTAATCAATGCATCAGGAAGTCAAGGAACCTGACTTAAGGAGCTTATCAGGGAAGAGTCACCTCCCATTCAACACATATTTCTCAAGAGGTTGCCAGGCCAACACCAGCGTTAGGTCATCAGTCGTAGCTGAAGTATAGATAGCACTTTAGAAGTAATGAGCAGGACCTGGTCTTATGGCCTGACTTTCTGTATTGCTCAAGATTTTTAAGAACAAGTAATAAGATCTCACATCAAACCTCCAAGCAGGAAAGGCATGTTATTTTTTATATGACCAACTGTCATACTGAAGATGGGGGGAAAGGGGCATGAGTAGGAAAGCTGTCCTGTGGGAGGGTTGTGCTTTTCACTATTGCTGGAAGGGATTTTAACACATTTGCAAAAATAAAATAGTATAATGAAGCCTGCACATTAGTTCCTCAGTATAAAGTGTTAGATTTAGTCAATTTTACCTATCCAGAAATTGGGTTGGGGGAGTCAGTATAATATGTACATTCATATATTTACACACTTTTCCGGAACTGTGATCTTGTTTATTGGCAAAAATGCATGACCTCAGAGTAACTAAGTAAAACCAATGTGTCTGAGCCCTTAGCAAAATGTCAGTGTATTAGCCTCTGTTTTCTAGAGGAGCAGAACTTACAGAATGAATCTCTAGATAGATACAGAGAAGGGGGTTATTAGGATGACTTACAGGCTGCAGTCTAGTTAATTCAATAATGGTTGCTTATCAACAGAAGGTTCAAGAATCCAGTGGTTGTTCAGTCCAGCAGGTTGTATGTCTCTGCTCATCTTCAGTCTACACTAGAATCATGAAGAACTAGGCTTTAAAGCCAGTAGGTAGGTACTGATAAGGGCTTTCAGAAGGTGCTGCCCCGGTTAGAGGTGTGTTTTCCTACCTCAAAGATCCAGATTAGAAGTAGATCTTCCCACTGCAAATTAAGTAAACTCCCTCACTGATGTTCCCTTCATTTTGGAGTTTTAGTTTATTCCAGATGTAGTCAAGTTGACAAATAGGAATTTCCATCACAGCTAGATACAAAATAAGCTCTCAAAAGTGCCAACAACTCCTTTTACTGTTATCAGACATGGAAATGCATTTGCTATGTACAGGGCAGGGGTGTTTTCAAGGCTACGTTCTCCCTGTTCTTTCCTTACCTGTACTTGTAACACCATTAAAGGATCCGTTCTTTAAACGGATGCTCATATGTTTCCTATAACAAGCCATTAAAATTCTTTCCCCCTTTGTATATGGCGGTGTCTAAGTTATTATGTTATTCACATGCAAATATACATTTCCCATCATAGATAAGGAAAAAAGACACAGGCTTCATTCTGTTTTGCTTTTGTGAATGTGTGAAAACTCCATTGACGAACACTGAGAAACACAAAACACAAGTTTTCCACACCAATGTATGTGTCTGATCTGTGTTTGCTAAAAGAGTGTTATTAGCTAACTCGTGAGCTGCCTCTCCAGCCCTCATCCTTTTAATTTTATTTATTGCTACTCTCTCCCTCCCTAACCCCCCCCCCCGTGTGTGTGTGTGTGTGTGTGTGTGTGTGTGTGTATTCTGGTATGTGTTGATGCACATCACAATGTGCACGTAGAGACCAGCGGACAACTTTAAGACGTCTGTTCCCTCTTTCCAGAGTGGGTTCTACTGACTCATCTTGAGTCCTTACACAGAGTCTCACTGTGTAGCTCTGGATGGCCTGGAACGCACTCTGTAGATTTGACTGGTCTCAAATTTAGAGAGAGCCCCTCTCTAGTGATGGAATTAAAGGCTTGTGCCCCCATGCATGGCTCTCTAGCTTCATGTTTGTGTCTTGGTGAAGTAGTGTATCCTGTGACTGCCAGATAAAGAGAAAATCGTTGGTTTTGCTGGAAGTAAATTGATCAGTTGAACTCCCAGCTTTTCTTAAATCCAGCAATTCTTCTCATGAGATTACAGCATTTAAAAGGCAAAAAATGTGCTAATAAAAGTGAACTTCCCCCCCCCACACACACACACCATTTCTCCTCCTCCTGGAGGAGCTGAAGTATCTTACAGGAAGCAAAGAACAGAGCTGAGAAGAACAGAGCCCCCTTTCCTCTAAGGGCTTCAGAACCCCCCTCTGGACTCTTGTTTCCAGAAAGACCTCCCACAGAGTCAGTATCTGCTGCTCTGGCTAGAAAAGATGTCTAAGGGAGGTACATTATTCAGAATAGGAAATAATATTGAAACTTTGAGACTATGTTTTCCCATCAAGGAATACACTTATTTCCATCTTCAAATACACTGTCAGCTCTCTGATTAATCATTACAGATAGTAAAGAAAAACCGAAAGAGATGTTGAAAGAAAGTGAGCCAAGTGGTAAAACAGAATGGAAATCTAAAGCTTTGAAAACCCGAGGGAAAGGGTTTACAACACAAGGAAGCCTGTGCTGTTTCCCTTCTATTCGGAATTCTGATAGGGTGCACGCTTTATTGCCAACACATGTTTCGCTTTGTTTTCTTACCCCCCCCCCAAATAAACCCAAATGGTTAGATTTTCCCACACAAAAATAATAAAGGAGAAAGTGCAGTTTAAAAAAAGACAAGTAAACAAACCATATAATCATGTCTTAGTTTTATTAGATTTTTTAATTTTTTTTTTTTTTTTTTTTTTGGTTTTTCAAGACAGCAATTCTCTGTGTATTCCTGGCTGTCCTAAAACTTACTCTATAGACCAGGCTGTCCTTGAAGTCTGTCTCTGCCTCCCTAGTTCTGGGATTAAAGGCATGTGGGATTAAAGAAATATCGTTCTTAGATATTTTAAAAGTTATTTTCTCGTATGAAGTCCCCAAACATGCTGGGTAAGCATGCTACCAAGCTCTGAAGTAAATGTTATTTTAAACTCAGGAAACTTTTAGGAAAACTAGTCTTAAGAGTTTAACATCATGGGATTTGGAGAGGAAGGCTTAGATTAGAAAAAAAGGTTCTGTGGGGCTACAGACATGGCTCAGCAGTTAAAAGCAAGTACTGGAGCAGAGGAGCCAAGTTTTTTTTTTTCTTTCTCAGCACCCATATCCAGGGGCTCACAACCACTTGTTATTCCAATTCTAGAAGCTCAAGACCAAACTATAACACAAAAAGATCCTGATAGAAGAAGAATGGGAAGGAGTTGCTTTTGCCTTGTAAACACATCACATGTATTTATAATAAGAAAATAAATAAAATAATGTGCATCTTGGCTATAGGCAGTGTATTTTCTTACACCGGAATATGAACTCAAGACCAGCCTGGACTACCTACCAGTGTCAGGGTTAGAAGACGGTGGAACAGCTCTACAGTCATCCCAGCATTCCGGGGAGTAAGTACTCTCAAGGTTTTAGGGTCCTGACTCAGGCAGTATGTGTGATTTCAACATAGAAAAAGAATTTTAGTTCTCTGCCATTTTTAAATCAATAACGCGGGTAAAAATTTTATCCTTCTCAAGAACTCTGGTGCAGTTTGATGGCTGGGAGGTTTTGCCGGTTTGAAAGGGACAACCTCACAAAACAGACTTCAGCATAACTTCTTACCATGTTGGAACAAAAGGTGTTTGGGGATGCAAGGCTCCAGATGTGAGGCTCTAGCAATGCTTTAGGGGCCAAGAAGGTGTTTTAAGGTGTACACATGCAAGCTATCAGATCTCTCTCTCATTGTGCTGCTCACAGTCTTAACATTAATCAATAAACTTCTGATAAGCTATTAATCACGCCCTGGCAGAGTGCTACCACTACTACACTGCAAGATCGAGTAAATTCTCTTTGGTTGTTTTCTAAAGACACTTTAGCCTCGAATTCTGTATCCTCCAGTCTCTACTTACCAAGTGCTGGGATTGCAGGTGTGTGCTGCCATGCTCAGCTCACACTGGCTTTGCTATCAAGGCAGTTGACTCTCTCACCATACAAGGAGTTGGCTCTTTCAGGGTTCAGTGGTGTCCTAAAGATCCTTCCTTTCTGTACTCTGTGGGGCTATCTTCATCATCTGTCGTAAGAGTAATCCTCTCATCTAACTACAGGAGAGGTTAGCTATCTTTATTCCCAAGAATGGTGTCCCTATCTCTTGTGGCCCTGGCCCAAACTCACTAGCAGCTAGAAAGACACTATGAGAAAGAGTGGCTTAGAAAGAAAACATTCCAAAACTTCCTTTATTATAAAGTTGATGAAATTGAAAAACAAATAATAAAACTGGCTGTGCCAAATAACTAATTTAACAGTCAATACTTGAACTTTCTTTTGAGACATTAGTGCTGGCAATGAGACTTGACCAAGGTATGCTAACGAATCCAGAGTGCATGAGGCCCTGCGTTCAATCCACAGCACTAGGGAGCAGGGCAGGAGAAGAAACAGGTAAAACACTAGTTCTATATGGACACAGCCTTCTACCAGGTAACTGTATAGTGTGTTACTTTTTCCTGAAAGTATATTGCATTGATCATAATTCTTTCAAATTTATTTTGGTTTTAACAGTGTTTTGAATCTTTAAGACTAGAATTTTGGTCACCTGAAGAAATTTCCATTTGACTCAAGGAAAAGTGGTCATATAGTCATGCACTCATCAGAGGTCACCTCTAGGCCTCAAGGATACTTCATCTTTTTCTCCCGAAGTGCAAGCGGCTCACAAGTTCTCTGAGTTTCAAAACTAAAGAGAAGTTGCCCATGTGGTCCTTCCAGCTTCCATAAGCCCTCCGAAACCTGTCATAATAACTGTCTTTGGACAAGTGGAAATCTGGGCTGCTTGTTTTTAAATAATTGTTGTTTTTCCACATTTCTCTCCAGGAATCTTTGAATTTTCCCAAATAGCTTTCTTTTTCAGACTCTTCCTTCCATATTCCTTCTCCTTTCTTTACGGCTGTCAGTTCAGCCTTAAGTAAGTTTCTGTGGATTTTCCAGTGGGTTTTTGAGTCATAATTTAGCCCTTTAACAAGAACAGTTTTGCCCAAGCCTCTTCTCAAAATTTCCTCATTCAGATTCACGTTAAAGTATCCACCCTGAATAAAAAGAAGGAAACCAACGATTTAATAAATTGTTACTATACTCATGTTATCTTATTTACCTTAAAATTGAGCAATTTTATCATTTTAGAGAAAAGCAAAAAAAAATGTATAACACAAAGCTCTTCAGGTCAAGTTTGGTGCCACACGCTTGCAATCCTAGCATTTATGAGTCTGAGGCAGGAGGATTACTTATTTACTCAGGGCCAGACTGGACTCCAAAATGAGACCCTGTCTCAAACAAAACAGAGACAGCAATAAAACAGGGACCTGGAGATACCCAGCATCCGTACAAAAAGTGAGGCCCAGCAGTCAGGTTCGTAATCCCAGTGCTAGGGAGTCAGAGACTGGGGAATCAATCCCTGGAGCTCACTGGCCAGCCATCCTAGTTGAGAAAGAGATCTCTGGGTTCAGGAAGAGAAGATAAGGTTCATGGTAACTGAGGAAGACACCTGACATGAACCTTTGGCCTCCATATATTACACTAACACTCACACACGTGTCAACACCTGTATAAACAGATGACCCTCACACATAAAATAAGTAACAAAACAGATCAACGAAACAACAAAGGGGTAGAAGAATTGCTATTGCTAAATTGAAGGATTTTATTTTTTGACATAATACACATGCAAAACTTGCTCAAAGATTCTCATTGATCTTTAATCCAAAGAAGCACTGGAAAGGTAAACTATAGAATGTGCTACTTACTTTCTTGACTGTGTAGAGGGGAAACACAGCACAAGATTTGTACAATGAGAGCCCACAACAACAACAACAAAAAGAAAACTATTAACTAATAAGTAAATAAGTGACAATGAACTCAACAGCATTAAATTGTTAGGTTAAAAGTCACAGGGTTGGGGGCTGGAGAGATGGCTCAGAGGTTAAGAGCATTGCCTGCTCTTCCAAAGGTCCTGAGTTCAATTCCCAGAAACCACATGGTGGCTCACAACCATCTGTAATGGGGTCTGATGCCCTCTTCTGGCCTGAAGGCATACACACAGACAGAATATTGTATACATAATAAATAAATAAATAAATAAATAAATAAATATTTTTTTAAAAAGTCACAGGGTTTGGGGGGTCTGGCAGGTAGTGTTTGTTTTTCTTCTTTTAAATGTGCATGGGTGTTTTGCCCTTATGTGTACGCCTGTGCATCACCTTCATGCCCAGTGCCTGCCAAGGCCAGAAGAGGGTCTCGGATCCTCTGGAACTAGAGTTGCTGTTGTAAGCCATTATTATTCTACTTGTGATGAAATCAATAAACGACCTTCCATAGTAAATTATAGAGATAAAGCAGATCCTGTTTTACCCTAACAAAACCAATTAAAATCAAATGTTGATAGCTTCATTTTGAAGTACAGTACAGGGCCGGAGAAATGGCTCAGCAGATTAAGAATGCTTGTTGCTCATGCAGAGGACTGGAGTTTGGCTCCATGCACCCATACAGGACAGCTCAGAATTGTCTGTAACTCCAGCTCCAAAAAAATCCAACACCCTCTTCTGGTCACATGTAGGCACCCACATAGGTAGACACAGGCACATAAATAAAAAAGCAAAACAAAAAAACAAGTGCTTGGCCGGGCGATGGTGGCGCATGCCTTTAATCCCAGCACTCGGGAGGCAGAGGTAGGCGGATCTCTGTGAGTTCGAGACCAGCCTGGTCTATAGAGCTAGTTCCAGGACAGGCTCCAAAGCCACAGAGAAACCCTATCTCGAAAAACCAAAAAAAAAAAAAAAAAAAAAAACAAGTGCTTGCTGCACAATCATTTGAATTGGATTTTCATCCCAGCACCCATGAAGCAAGTCAGGTGTCTCCAACATGGAAGGATTCAATGCCCTCTGCTGGCAGGCTCCTTCACGTGCATGTGAGTGTATACACACACACTCAAGCCGACACATGCAAAAACACACATTCACACACACACACACACACACACACACACACACACATCCACATTTTCAAAAAGGCAATCACAATTAATATAAAATTAATCTAAAAAGTCAAAAGTCCAGGCTTAAATGAAGATATATTTTCTAAGAGTCTATAAAAGTAATCTTTAAAAAAAAAAAAGACTTTGAAACAAAACATTTTTCTGGGTCCAATAAATTGTAAATTTTGGTCTATGAAAGGTTTATTATATTTGTCTCAGTTTAGAACATTTTATAAGCTCATTTCCTTGAGCCAAGCCAAAACAACTAAACAGTCTCACACATTAATAGAATTCAGGCAGAGAAGCACTTGAATCACGTTCCTATGCACAGCATCGATTGTTCACCTGGAAAACAATGTAAGGACTAGGAATGCAGGTGGGTTTCTGAGCCGGGAAGAACTCTCCCTTTGGTTAGTCTAGTCCAGGAGACTCTCATCCTGTGGAGACCCACCTATAAATAAGAACAGCAACCCCAGAGAATGGTCTTCTGCATGCGTGAAGTAACATGGCCAAGACATTTACTTTTACAGCCTCTGAGTGTGAGCACACAGGATACTGGAGCAGATGGAGCAATATTTATCTTTAGAAAACATCCCGTTCTTTGTAACTTCTAGTTGTCAAGGCTCACTCCCTAAATGATTTCATAGAGATCCACCTGCCTCTGTCTTCCAAGCCTGGGAATAGAAGTGTGTGCCACAACTAATTGGCACTATATAAATTTCATTGTAAAATTTTGTGGATGTCATATCAGTCAAATAGGCTTTCTAAATGGGCTGGAGAGATGGCTCAAGCAACCAAGAGCCCTGGTTCAGTTCCCAGTTCCTGCTTTAGGCAGTTCACAACCACCCATAACTCCAGTTCCAGGGGATCCAATGCCCTATTCCAGCCTCCGTGGATACTGCACCCATGCACACAGACCCACACATAGACTCATAGTTTAAAAAGGCAAAAACTAAGGCCTGGAGATGGCTGAAGAGATGGCTGAGTGATTAAGAGCTCCCATTGCTCTTGCAAAGGACATGAGTTCGATCTGATCAACAGAGCAAGTCCCAGGACAGCCAGGGCTGTTACATAGAGAAACCCTGTCTTAAAAACAAGACAAAATGCTGGGCGGTGGTGGCACACGCCTTTAATCCCAGCACTTGGGAGGCAGAGGCAGGCAGATCTCTGTGAGTTCGAGACCAGTGTGGTCTACAAGAGCTAGTTCCAGGACAGGAACCAAAGCCACAGAGAAACCCTGTCTCGAAAAACCAAAAAAAAAAAAAAAAGACAAAACAAAACAAAGCAAATAACAAAAAAAAAAGGAAGAGAAGAAGAAATTTATTATAAAATACCTTGTTCTCGCCGGGCGATGGTGGCACGCCTTTAATCCCAGCACTCAGGAGGCAGAGGTAGGCGGATCTCTGTGAGTTCGAGACCAGCCTGGTCTACAAGAGCTAGTTCCAGGACAGGCTCCAAAGCCACAGAGAAACCCTGTCTCGAAAAAAACCAAAAAAAAAAAAAAAAAAAAAAAAAAAACCTTGTTCTTTACACCGCATAACTGTGGTCAGTAGTTTGAAAAGTTCATTATATATTCAAAATGCCAATTAAATAAGCATTTACTTATGTTGCGCACGGTCAGGTATTTCTTCACACTGCTCACCTTGTTCACTAGAAGGTAGCAAACCAGTGCTGAATTCTCCTTTCCAAGAAGCTGGAACCACAGCAGCTGGGAAGGTTTCAGCTCTTTCTGTAACCAGACCTTACCGGTTTCAGTGAGTTCTACTCCAGCCAGCTTAACCAGCAAAAACCCACATGGCTCTTCTAAGAAAGTAATGTAGAAAGCAGTTTAGCTTCAAGGCAGACCACAAAGCAAAGTCCAGAGTCATTTGTCTCCAAACCCCTAACACACATTATAAATAATCAAACTCTAAATTTAAAACCACTTATTTTTATTAAATTTTCTTTTAAAATAATACAAGTATAAACCAGATTTTTTTGTTTTTTTAAATTTTTAGAAAATTTATTTTTATAGCATAGATCTTGAAATCAACAAATCAGTGATACATTTATTTCCTTAATAATCAATTATTCAGAAAACCAATCTGATGTAAAACATAAATAGTTTTATTTGCCATCGATATATCTCAATTAAGAAAGATTTTCTTCATTGATTTTAGAGCAATTGTAGTTGATATTATCAGAATTATTATGTCCCCATATGTCCTTGTTCCTGTCATATAACGTTGAAGGACAAGAATAGATCTGCATTCTCTGACCTTTAGTAAAGGTGGAAGGGATCTACTTCTGTGGTTCCCACAAACAATCAATTCTGCTTGAGGATGTCAAATAAACCAGATATTTATACTTTATAATAATAGATAGGTCTTTAATCCCAACACTTAGGAAGCAGAGCCAGGAGAATCTCTGTGAGTTCGAGGCCAACTTGGTCTACATAAGGAGTTCAGGACCAGCCAGGATTGCCTGTCTTAAAACCAAGAAAGAAAGAAAAAGAAATTGTCTTGAGGTTATAATGTGGTGCAAAGGCACCATGACCACAGTAACTTTTATAAAGAAAATATTTAATTGGGGCTGGCTTAGAGTTTCAGAGGTTTATTCCATTATTGTCATATCAGGAAACATGGAAGCATGCAGGCAGACATAGTGCTGGAGAGGTAGCTGAGTTCTATATTTGGATCGGTAGGCAGCAGGAAGAGAACTGAGAACACACTGAGCCCTCAAAGCCCACTTCCTAGTGACGCACTTCCTCTTACTAAGCCACACCTACCTCAAAAAGGTCACACCTCCTAATATATCACTGCCTTCACCTAGAGGGGCCATTTTACAAATAAACATCAACCTGGTTGTGCCTTCTGAGTGCTGAGATTAAAGATATGTGCTACCAGCTTGTAATTTGTTTTTTTACTTTACAGGTCACATTTAAGAGATGACTTAAGTCTTAGAAAATATTTTGAACTTCCAAACAATGTTGGGACTATTAAAAACAGTTGCATCATGATGTAGTTGCAAGCCTATGAGGGCAAGTGGTAGAATGTGAAATGTCAGGGGGGCTGGAGAGATGGCTCAGAGATTAAGAGCACTTCGTTCAATTCCCAGCACCCACTTGGCAGTCCACATCTGTATGTAACTCCAGTTCCAGGCAATGTAATACCCTCACAGAGACATATATGCTGGAACTCAATAGGTAGACCGGCCTCAAACTCACAGAGATCCGCCTGCTTCTGCTGCTGAGTACTGGGATTAAAGGCGCACACCACCAACACCAGCTGGACCTCGAGCTTTTAAAGCTGGGTTTCACGTTCCAATTCTCTTTGCTTTTTGATAGCGGATGTAATGTAACTCAGCTGTCATACCTTCCTATCATGATGGACTGTATCCTGTTGGAACTGCCAGCCACAATAAATCTTTCTCCTTTAAATTTCTTTGATCAGGTATTTTTGTCTGAAAACATGTAAAGCAACCAAGGCAGCAAGGAAAAGCACTTGCCATGAGTCTGACCACCTGAGTTCTAGCTCCAGAACCACAGTGAAAGGAGAGAACCAGCCAGGCGGTGGTGCACGCCTTTAAACCCAACACCCACACGGCAGCTCACAACTATCTGAAGATCCAGTTCCAGGGGATCTGACACCTTCATACCAATGCACATAAAATAAAGTTAAATAAACCATAAGAAATATTTTTAAAATATTTCTGAAAACATAAAATTAGCCATTTCCCAAGAGCAATTTATATCAGCCACACACAAAGTGTTCACACTCTCACTTCTTCTGCCGTGGCCACTATCTGTTGGAAGACATTCAGCAGGTTTCTTTCGTTTATACACAAACAGGCATTCATGGAGTTCGGGATGGAACAACAGAATAAATGGAAACAAAACAAAACCCTTAAAACCAAAAACTACTTTCTGGCTATGTCCTGTTGGCTCCACTGAATCAGGAGAGAGCTTATAAAACAGAACACACAAACACTAAAACCAAAGCCAACCACACAATAACGACAACAAAAAAGCACGTCAATTCTTTCCATCCAAACTCTATTGACTAGTCAGCATTTTTCTATAAACTGTGAGCATCAAGTTTTGGGGGAAATGTTCATGTCTGTCAAGTGCTAATTCGTTAGTAGAGAAGATAAAAACATAAATATATCATATCACAGGAAGTTACAAGAAAAATGGGTAGCTTGTAGCCTAGGAAGACAGCAAATTTTAAAATGCAGGGTAGAAAAACAAGGAATTCTACAACTGCAGTTCATTTAACCCTCTTCACAGGGGGTAGGGGTTAAGGAAGTTTTACAAAAGAAAAAAAAAAAAAGACAACTGAGTCAGATCCCAAAGAATGAATTAAAGTTGTCTGAGCAAAGAACCAGTCCAGGGATTATGCAATTATATCTAAGAGAGAAAGGTGTGTATGTTTGGGCCCTTTGATACGAAGTGGGGATAACTGATAATAAGTAGAGAAATGCTGGGTGGTAGTAGGCACATGCCTTTAATCCCAGCACTCAGGAGGCAGAGGCAGGAGGATCTCTGTGAGTTAGAGGCCAGCCCGGTATACAGAGTGAGTTCTAGGACAGGCTCCAAAGGTACACAGAGAAACTTTGTCTTAAACAAACAAACAAACAAAACAAAACAAAGAAAGAAAAAAGAAGAGAGCAAGCGAGAGAGAGAGAGAGAGAGAGAGAGAGAGAGAGAGAGAGAGAGAGAACCGGTGTGGCCCCTAATACCCCTCTAATCTTCTTTGGCTCCTCTCAACTTTTTTTCCCTGTGTCTCAACTACAGGAACTTCATACAACTGTCAAAAGATGCAAGCTCATTCCTACCTGCACTGTTCCTGGCTAGCCCACTCAAATGTTCAGGTCTGATTATATAATGTCTCCTCAATGAGATCTTCTCTTTCTGACTACTGTATATATGTGGATTTCCTTAACCCCACCAGACATGAATAGTTATCTATCCCAGCACTCTGTTTCTTGTCTTCATCAATGTTAGAACGAATTTTCACAGGCCTATTGTCCTCCACCAAGACTGTAAGCTGTAAGCGTTAGAAGGACCATGTTTGTTTGATTCCGCATGGTACGGTTATCTTAGGTCCTGGGCCACCACAGGCTGTCATCATTTGCAGGATGAGCAACCAAAGGCAGTCGGCTGAAACCAAAGAGAGAAGGAAGACAGGAGCTCTAGAGCCAAAGTAAACAATTTCTTGTAAGTAAGGCCATGGTTCAGATTTTCATAGATTATGAAAGAAATCAGAAATTAGCATATTTCTGCTCCTTTATAAAGAACATCTAGTTATTAAATACACAATAATGATTACAACAGTTAGTTTTACAATTCTTGCATCTTACTTACTTTTCCACGAAGATATAAAAGGTAAAGTAATAGGAATATGTTCAATTTCTAGACCACACTCAGTTATCCGGTGTAATCGGCCACGGAGCTTCACTTTCTTTCTTATAAACTCCACTGGAATATCTGAAGAGGCTGTGAATTTTGATGTCTGTTGATTTACAAAGAAAGACATATAATTTTCACTTAAAATGAAAATACAATGTGAAGCTATCTAAGCATTTATCAAGAAGACATTGCATTGAAAAGTTTCAACTTTAACGCGTCAATATTTAATAAGTTTTAGCACTGACACTTTAATATTGAATCAAAAGTGTTTCTAAAGTCTGGAGAGATGGCTCAGCAGGTAAGGACACTTGATGCTCTTGCTCTGGATGTAGGTTCAGTTTCCGGCATCCAGTTCCAGAGAGCTGAGACCCTCACCCTCTTCTTGCATCTGGTGCACATAAACTCAGTACATGCACAAACACGTATATATAAAAACAGTAAATAGCTTAAACTGTTTTTGGAGAGTTAAAGCTTACTATTCACCCATGTCTATTTCAAGATAGCATATATGAGGTGTGAAATGAAGTCCCAGCACAGCTGTGCTGAATTAAATTAGACTCCTGGCTGGTGAGATTTTTATTGTTTTTTAAAATCATTTAGGTGACAAGGTAAATCTTTAAAAAGAAAACAAGAGGGTAGGCCAACATTGGAGATTTCCTTTTACCCCATCACCTACTCGGTACCCAGGGTCAGTAACTGACAAGCATCATACAGCATCACGGCTAGCATCGTGCTGGCCATCTTTCTTTGGAGAGGAAAGAATATTTGATGCTATGGCATATTATCTCTGCAAGGGAGAAGAGCTTTATCTATATGCTGGGATAATTAAAATTTCTATTGTGTGTGTGTGTGTATGCTACCTTGTGTGTTCGTGGATGTCAGAGGAGAACTTTGTGGAGCTATGTTCTCTCTTTCCACCTTCACACAGGTTCTGGGGATCAAACGCAGGTCTCCAAGGCTTGTGTGAGAGTGTTTAACCACGGAGCCACCTCAAAGCCCCAGAACTTACTTTTAACTTGGATTCAGAAGGACCACTCTGGATTTCTTGTTTGTGTGGGCATATGTAAAGAACTTATGTAAGTTTGTTTTCAGATTCATCAGCGTGAAAGCCATAAATGGTAACCTGCAATATTGAGATTCTGTCACGCTATGCTACCTAAGAAACCATTCCAGGTCAAACTGGCAAGTTGTAAACTTTCAAGTTAAATAGATGATTCTATCACCTGACCGTTTAAGTTCGATAACTAAAAATCAGCCACATCAGAATTTCTATTTCTATCTAAAAATAATAGTTTATTTGCAAAACACATGAGAAATAGTTTTGCCTAAAAGACGAGATGTCATCAGTACCAACAATTCCCTACCCAGACAAGGAAACTCGACAAATCGTAGTTTGTTTGGGTTTTGGTTTTGTTTTGAGACAAGGTCTCCTTCTGTAGCCCAGCTAGGCTGACTTGGAACTCACCAGAAGTCCAGGCTGCCTATGAGCTTGTAGTAATCCTGCCTCAGCTTCCCTAGCTGCCAGGAAGACAGGTGCGAGTCACCATACCCAACTAAATTCCATTTTGTTGACAGAAAACCGAGATCTGTGTACTGAAAGGACATGGTCTGTGGAGCAGCCGAGCTCATGGGATCCTAATCATATGATTAGAGGCAACAGTGATTTAGGACCGGCTGCATAAATGCATAAAGAAAATGTATATGCTATTAACCTGCTTGCTTTTCCTTTACTCCAACTCATTCCTTATATGTAGGCTTGATCATTTTAGCATTTAGATTAATGGTTCAGCAGACATCAGGAAAATACTCTGAACTAATCAGAATGCTATCCAATTGCTCTTATAAGCAATCTATAATATATTCAAAAAGTCAACCAAAAACACGAGACAATCCACAGATTCTGAAATGCAAGTTTAGTGACTATACTATCTTGACAAACTAAATCCTTTATGGAACTATTTTTCTAACTCTAAAAATATGATTATGCGAATAGTCTGTAGAATTAAGTAACTGTACAATTTTAGTGACTCTAAAATATAGTCACTGCTCTAAACATTAACCAAGATCTTAAAAAATATGCTTATTATTCTACAATAGAACTTAAAGTCTTGCAGTATGGATACAAGCTTCCTGGAATGGGAATAAACCCACTGTCTGTTGCCCCTGCCAGTTTTGACTCACCAGCCGGACACTTCTCATTAGTAACACGATCCCAGCTATGGCCATTCCCGTGCTGACGTTCTACAGAAAGAGATTTCATGATTGACTCTCGTCAGTTATCATTTGCAACAGCGAATGCACTAACTTAGGAAGGGGGGAGGAGACGGCCCTCATGATGGGCCCTCATGATGACGACCAGTTCAAATGATGCAGCCGCCTCCGATGGTAGCTCAGAACGCTCTGCTGTGTCCTCACGTGCTGTCTCCTGTCTTTTTACCCCTTCAGTGTTCTTCCCCAGTTCTTCCTTAGCCATCTGGCAGGCACAGGGATTTGAGTGTGAGTGATTTGACCTGGTCTATGAACTCCTTGAATGCACCCCTGACCCAACATTTCTATCTTTGACATCCATGGTGAATTATGCATTTGGTAGAAAACCATGGCAAACATACTGGGTAAACATGTATGTAAATGATTGAATAGTAACATTACTATAGTTAATAATGGTATATGTATTTCTTTGGCACTTGTTGTTACTACTAAATGGCAGGTAGACTAGACTAAGGATGAAGCCACAAAGGAATGTCAGCAGGCAGGCACAACCTTGGAACTCAGGCTGCCTAGCTGCAACGCATTTGCAAAGCTCAACTTCCTCAGCTTCTCTGCGGAACTTTTGAAAAATTGTTTCTTCCAATCCATTCCCCTCCTGGCTTCTAGCTGTCTTCTTCCCTAATGCTCTGTCAGCCTTTGCTTCTGTCGCCTTCGACTCCCATCAACGCACGGGCAGCTCCCTCTTTGCCCACATCACCACCAGGACCTTATCAGCAGTCCTGTCTCTAGTGTTAGTCTGGTTATCAACGCTTCTCTTCTTCGACTGGATTTCGGTGATTTCTCATTTCACTCAAAAAACAAAACAAAACAAAACAAAACAGGACTGGGGATCTAGTTCAGTGGTAAGCACTAGAATGCTTACGTTAGTTCGAATCCCAGCCCTGAAAAAATAGGCTCTGTGAAGGCCTATGGGGCTTCCCAGCTCTCTGGGTCTCCGGGCTGCCGAACGGAACCGGGAGTTACCTGAACCCCTGTGGCGTCCCCAGCCCCGCGCGCCAGCCCGGCAGTGACGAAGCAGGCCTGGCCGCCGGGACGGCAAAGGAGGCGATGTCGCCTCCCCGGCCATGCCGGTGCCTGCCGGTCCCCCTCGAGGCCTGCCGCGAGCACCCGCTCAGGCTAACCCACCCCGCCGGGTCGCGGCACCTGGACAAGGCGCAGGTGGCTGTCCGCCCACTGCGACAGGCGCGTCACCACGTTGGCTTCCCGTTGGTCCGGGTCGGGCGCCTGCGACCCGGTGCTCGCCGGCGGCCGCGCCATGTTCCCGCGTCCGGCGAGCCGCGCTGGTTCCTCCCGCGGGCGGCAGGGGGCGCTGCGCCGCGCCGCGCGTCCCACGGTCCCCTCCCCTCCGGGGCGCCTGCACCCGCTTTGTACATGAAGTGTGTGCTATAGGGGTACCACGCCAGCCAGGACAACGGAACACTGACTCAAAACAAACAACAAAAATGAGGTAAAGTATTAAGATTTTGGAAATCTTGGTAAATATTCACGATTCGGTTATTCTTGCTGTTTTGTCTGTAAGCTTTTATTTTTATTTTTTGCTTTTCAAGACAGGGTTTCTCTATGTAGTCCTGGCTGTGCTGGAACTAGCTCTGCCGACCAGGCTGGACTTGAACTCAGAGATCCATCTGCCATATCTAATGGTGCTGAAGAGCAAACCCAGGATCTTCTACATGTGGGGCAGACTCTCTACCACAGTGCGCCACTCCTTTTAAAACACCCCTTTTATGTAGTTAAAACTGGCCACTGTCCTTCCTCAGCTTCTTCTATGCAGAGGCTACTGGTGTGTTTGACTGTGCCTGGCTTTCTAAATATTTTTAAGGCCGAAAATAATAAAGGAAAAAGAGATGGAGATATACCTATTCATATTGTGTTAATACATTTAACTTTGGCCCAAAGAAAGATCTGCTCTTTCCCGTTGCACCTGGTAATTTCTGACATCCCACTTACGGTGGAGGCTTTGAGTCTCTGGGCATCAGCTTGACTTTCAGAGGGACTAGATCTGTTAGCGTGCAGGGAGAACTCTCCACAGATGTGGGGGCACCTTCCGATCTTCTAGCGTACAGTAAGAACTCTACAGATGTGGGGGCATCTTCCGATCTGCTAGCCGTGTAATGAGAACTCTGAACACAGATATGGGGGCGCTTTCCTGGTTGCGCTGCTCCTTGCTTTTTCACACGTGGTCGCAGAGAGGCATCAGTGTTGTTCCTGACTTCATGGGTGGAGATTTTGTTTTTAAGCAAACACCACACCTGAGAATGCCCTGGACACTCCCAAACGGGACAGTTATGTTAGAAGTTATGGAAATCTTGGTACAGTTATTCACCTCTACATGGGTTCAGTATATTATCACCTCTATTTAAATGTTTGAACATTACAGTAGAATTTTCCTAATGTGTGAAGCTACTACTCCTATACTGTTGCCAACAGGAAAATAGTTCTAGAGATAAGAAGTATCTAATTATGCTTTCTTATCACAGGACCAAGTTCATTATGATTAATTTCCTCTGGAGTGCTAAGAACTGCTCAGAAAGTTAGAAAACAAAGCTGGCAAATCTTATCTCAAAAAATACAGTACTAGCCACTCCTGTCAGCTTTACTTTCCAGTGGGATCCCTGTGGCCTATCCCGACCTCAGGCTTTACCCTTCCTCTCTCCTTCCGGTGTCAGGTATGTGTCCCACGATGCCTTGCTAGCTAGGCAAGCTTCTACCACACATCCCCGTTTCCTTACTTTTAATTTAAATAAAAACCTCAAAATTTGACCTTTAAAGATACCTGTAAAAATTTTAGGTCATCGTTTCTGTGTGGCCTGTGCCCTAGAGCAGACACAGTGGAGGTCAGGGATTCCTTTGGAGCTAGAGTTACAGGCAGCCTTCTGACATAGGTATTGGGAACTGATTTCAGGTTCTCTACAAGTGCAGTATGCATTCTTAACTACTTCAGCTCCCAGTTTTAACCTCTTCTATCCATTAACATTTTAATAAATTTTCCTCATGCTTTCCAAGTTTAGAAGATGATATCTCTCCTGGTTATAAAGTTCACTCTTGTGGCTAGTGAGGTAGCTCAGTCGGTAGAGCACTTGCGCAGCATGCCCAAGGTGCTAGACTCACCCTCCAGCACACACGAACCAGGTATGTGCATGCAATCTTGGCACATAAGAGGTGAGCACTGTTTCAAGTGCAGGATAAGGTCGGGAACCAAAGGATATAAACTAGTATACTGAATCGGTATACTGGTCTAAGAATGAGAGATGCAATCTGAAGCCTGTCCTTGTTTGGGAGCTAATTCAGATGGTGCAAAGGAGCTGTGACGTGGAACAGCTGAGTGGAGAGAGGAGAGGAACAGCAGCTCAGCTGTTTCATGGTGGGGGACCATAGCTGGACTGCTTGCACTGGCAATCTGTCCTTATTTACCGCTGAGCGTGGTCATGCACGCCTTCACTCCCAGCGTTCAGGAGGCAGAGGCAGGTGGAACTATGTGCATTTGAGGCTGGCTTGGTGTACAAAGTAAGTTTCAGAATAGTTGGGGTTACACAGAAAAATCCTGTCTTGAAAAACTAGGAAAAAAAAGAAAAAGAAAAATCACGTACCTTTGTCCTGTGCCTCTGTTTTTTGTATAAAACAGGAATTACCAAACACCTACCTTTTAAAGTCATGGATCCTCTTGATTAATTTATATGAGGGTTTTGAATGGTATCGTGAATCAAGTACTAAGTTTTGGCTGTGACAAGTCACACTTCTGGAACCTATGATGATGACCACAGTAGACAGGTGCAGTGCTCCAAGGAAGAGCCTTTCTTTGTTTCCTTCTATTCAACTTCTTGTAGTGCTGGGCCAAGGCAGTAATTGGAAGCTGTTGATTTTTATAGTTGCTTATCTTTATGTGTGCTGCTGTTTCGTCTGAGCACATGGATGTGCACCGAGCGCACACAGGAGCCAGAGAGCACCAGATACTGTGGGACTGGAGTTATCGAGGACTGTGAACCACCATGTGGGTGATGGGATGAACTCGGTTTCTCTGGAACTGCTCAGCCATCTCTCCAGCTCCCACCGCTAATTTTAAAGGAGAAATGCCCACAGGACATCTTTAGTTTAAATTGAGCACACAGCACTCCTACAACCTGGTTTGCACGTGGTAGGCAGAACTATGATGGACAGGATTTGTTGAAATATGTGGCTTAGACAATGGAGAAGAACAAATTCATCACTCAGGAGATACCATTTATCCTAAAGGAAGAAGTTTTATTTTCTGATTACACTTTACAAGAAATCTATATACTTGTAATGAAGACTATAGACCGATGATGGAAGAGCTGAGAAAAAGGAAGCTGCCAGAGGGCTGTTGTTCAATTCTAGATTGAGGAGCAACTAGCAAAATTACTTTGATATTGACCCTGAAGAATTAACATTTAATTCTTGTTTTCATAAAAGACAAAAATAATGAGGTTAATCAATTAATTTTTACAATAATAAATATTAAAATATATTATCTTCTTGGAGTTGGAGATTTGGCTCAATGGTTAACAGCACTTGCTGCTCTTACAGAGGACCTGGGTTCAAGCCCCCAAACCAACATGGTAGCTCATACGTCGCTATAATTCCAGTTCAAGGAGATCCAACAGCCTCCCTGGGTACCAAGCATGCCTATTGTGTCCATACATACAAATATGGAGGCAAAACACTTTTATAATACATAAAATAATAAAATAATCTTAAAAATATTAAAACGTTAGAAAAACATTTGTTTGGGAACAAGTCCCTGGTCCCACCCATACTGTCATTATTTTTGCTTCCTAGGACAACACTCCTTCCAATCATCTTCACAATTTCTGGACTCCATTTTTTCTTTTCCTTTCCCAGTGTTACCTGTGATCCTGCTTTTTCCTCCAGATTGTTGGTGCACTGATCCATGAGGGAGGAGGCAGCAGAAGCAGGGAACAGGATTCAGACAGTTGTGAGTACAACACAGACAGTCCTCTGGGAGATGACTTCAGTAAGTCCTACCAACTTTATTCCAGGGAATATACAGGGACAAACCCTACTTTGCACTAAGTGGCACACCACACTCCTATCATGAGGCTTTGATTGTGGCAGCTGGGTCCTATAGCAAAGCTCCTAATACAAGTTTAATCACCATATGTGCAGCAGGGGTAAGGCTTCTAGCAGGGAACTGTGCCGAGGGTCATGCTAAAGATAAATCAGGCATCAAGGCTTAAAGACAGCTTTCAGACAATGTCAGTCTTCCTGGGCCAGGGATATTCTCCAGAGAAGATCAGGTAGAGAGCAGGAAGTCAGGCTGGGGGTTGGGGGTAGTCCCCATGCTGCCAAGCTTTGGAGAGAGCTGCCAGGCCATGATAGACGGTAACTTCTGATCAGCAACCTTCCAACAACCACCATTCTGGTTTATCTCTTGTCTGCTATTCTCTTTCAGAGTTTGTAGCGGCACACGTCTATAATCTCAGTACCTGAGAGACCAAAGCAGCAGGGCAAGGGCAAATCTGAGGCCATCCTGGGCTACACAATAAGACACTATTTCAAAATCCAAAGGCTAGGCTTGTTGTTTAGGGTAGGGAAATTCCCTGGCCTTTGCTCATCAAAAGTTATTAACTTAGGCTGGGCAGTGGTGGCACACACCTTTAGAGAATCTCTGTGAGTTCAAGGTCAGCCTGGTCTACAAATCAAGTTCCAGGACAGCCAGGGCTACACAAAGAAACCCTGGCTCAAAAAACAAAAACAAAAAGTGATCGCACTCAGTTCATATGTAAAATGTTGTAGAGATACTTAGGACTAATCCAACAGTAATACTATTTCTTTGGTACCCACACACTTGCAAAATGAGTTCCCCCCAAAAGCATGTGTTTTAAAAAACAGAAATATCTGGGTGTTTAAAAAAACAGAAATACCTGGGGGCTGGAGAAATGGCTCAGAGATGACTGCTCTTCGAGTTCAATTCCCAGCAACCACATGGTAGCTTGCAACCATCTATGATAATATCTGGTGCCATCTTTGGGCATGTAGGCATATATGCAGGCAGAACATTGCATACATAATAAATAAATTTTAAAAAAGAAAAAAAGAAAAAGAAGCAAATACGATTCCTGATTTGGCATAAAATAATTATTAATATTTTCATGAATAAAGTGCTTACCTAAAATTAAGAAATGCTCTCCCACAGAGTGGTCTATCAAAGGCACAAAATCTCTTTTTAAAATAGTAGCTTTAAGATTATGGTGTTAACTCACTGAACTTTAATTTTAAGTTTACATTTTTTTCTCACAGTAATTAAAAAAACTACAGCAAGAATGACATTTAGTTTTTATTTTTACAACTCAACCATAAACACGCACACCACAAACTTGATCCCCTCATTAGCTGTCTGTGTGCCATGACTCACCTGTGACAAAATCATAGCGTAAACCTAGGGCAAGAGTTAACAAGAAATCAAAATAGCATCCCCAAAAAGGAGAGATAGGAAAATCAATAAATTAAAAACCATAGATTTCATTTATAAAAAATAGTTTGAATAATCTTTTTATAAATCTTCCACGCTTACAAAAGCAAAAATTACAGTTAAAATAGTTATTTTAACAGATTCATTTATACAATCGATTATGATCAGAAAAACTCAATGTTTTAATAGTTACATTTTCTTTGCATCAGAGTCCACATAAATTTTTACAAATTTACAATTTAAAGTGAGAATTAACGTCCAATAAGGTCAAACTAGTCAGCTAGTACCTGAATATTAAGCTCTGCCCCACTTGATACATTGTACCAAATGTTACATACAACTCAATGACAGGTACCAACAACAATACTTGGCAGCATGGTGACCACCATGACTGTTCCACTGTAGCTTAAAATATGCTTTGGTCAGTAAATTAACAGAAATCAAGTAATACAACCAAAAGAGTTGTTTCCTGGCCTTAAGTAAACATTAAATACACTGAGAAGGCAAGGAAAAATATGATCAAATACACAAAGAAATTTCTATTTTCAACTATGTGACATTTAAAATTAAAATTAAGCAGTATTTTATATCCCTATACACTGATTATCATAGCTTTCTCAGCAAAACTAATCTACAATTACCTTCTAGAATGTCCAGTAATGTTGGCATTAGTTATTCCTTTTGCACTTCCATGAAGATGGTCCTTCATCCTGTAACTTTTTGAATTTTGGACCAAGAAAGAACCACCAACCAAATCCAATGAAAACACAGATAATGGATTCCACATAATAACCATCCAGAGCTGTCACACACGAGCCGCCAAGTTTTTTGCAAAGCTATAAAAATAAAAGTATAATAAATATTCTGTAACTTTTTTTCTGGTTTGCTTTATAGATGCAGGGTCTCAGATAGCCTAGGTTGGCTTCAAATTCTGGACCTGAGGATATCCTGGACTTCTGAATTTCTTCCTCACAGCCCTCAAGTGCTGGGATTAAAGGCACACATCACTAAGCTTGGTTTTCTGTGTAAACCCACAACTCTGTGCATGCTGGGCAAGCAGTACACCACCCGCGCTGTAAAAGCCAGCTATTATTGTTTCATTTGTGAGCACTTCAGCAACCCCAGTGTGCTCTGTTTGCCTGAAAAGCACCTTCACCTAAGCTAGTCTTACTGACACAAATTCGCAATTAATCCTCATCATAATAGTGCTAAAATATGTACATTTCCATACTGAAACTACGGTATATATGATTTTTAGCCACTAACCATATTTCAAAACTTGTTCACTGTTATCTGGAAACTAAAACACACTTACTTCAATAGCATCAGGTGTTCGACAATTCTGGTTTGATGCTCCTACACACTCCTTCACTGTGAGGGGATCCACGAGCCAAAGAGCTACTGTAGACGGCCAGTTTCCTCCCAGATTCGACACAGTATTTAAAAGGGTCATGTATGTTCCTCCGATAAGAGGGTCACTGACCTTGGCATTGAAAGCCATTATCGACACATACATGCTGTACAGCGTGACCTGTGAGAAGAAGGCAACATTGGGATGGTGGAAGGTTTCTTTTCTTTTCGGCTTTTGTTTTCTGTGTGCAGGGTGTTCGGGATTGAGCATGGGGCACCAAGCAGGAAGCATAAACTATGGAGCCCTGTTTTCTGGTCACACAGCACATCAGTAATGACGACATTGCTGCCATACACCACACCTCATGTCGGAGACCTTGAATCTTTTTTCCTTTAAGGCCTGTGTGATTGCCTAAGCTTCTCTGATTATGCTTTGAGAAATTCTCCAAGAAAAGCAAAAGCCAAAGAAACAAGCCTTTGGACTATAACAGCATCGTCCGTACATTTCTTTCCCTAGGTAGACAGTGAGACACTAACTGAACCAAATGTTTCTTTTTAATGTCTGTTATGTGCCTAGCATTAATTTTGTGCAAAACAGAAATATGCATTTGACATACTGGCCCCAATAATTTTACAAGCCTATGTTTTGTTAGATATGATCCACTATGGAATTTTTTATTGATTGACTGATTGGATTGATAGGGCCAGTTTCAGACCTGTTCAAACTTAGGCTTGGTTATACGGGCAGAGACTGTCTCAAAACCAAAAATAAACACAAACATCTTTCCTACATCTATGAATAGATCAAGGTATACTTACTTAGTATGAGTAAACTTTGTTAAAATTCTGAAATATAATAAATTCTCCATAAAGGAATAATTTGAAGAAAAATTATTTCATGACTATCACTCACCAAGTTTAAAGACATTGGACTTAAGTTCACCATCAAATTACTTTATTGTCAGATTAACATGGAAACCTTCAACTTCATTAAAGTAGCTGGGAAATTTTTTCCTCAGGGACTGGAAGATGGCACTTCTACAACTATGGGGCTTGAGTTCACATGTTCACCCATGAATAAGGGAGTGCCTGTAACTCCAGCTTCTGAAGCAGAAACAGGCAGTGACCAGCCAGCCTAGCCAATGTGGCAAGCTACCAGTTTAGTGAGAAACACACACACACACACACACACACACACACACACACTTCATGAGCAGCTCGTCTCCTAGCTTACCTGATGTAATGCATAACTCAGCAGCACTATAATATAGTAATATATGGGGAATCCTCCTTGATGCTCTACTTTAGGAGTCCACCAAACAAGCAGGGCATATTCTAATCCAAGCAATAACCTACAAAAAGAGAAACACTGAGTTGACATCCATTTTACATTAAAGAGTAAGCTGTAAGCTGTATTAAAAATGGCTAGAGCCCGGCATGGTGGCACATGCCTTTAATCTTAGACCCAGGAGGCAGAGGCAAACAGATCTCTGAGTTTGAGTCAGCCTGGTCTGTAAGTTCCAGAACAGCCAGGGCTACATAGAGACACTCCTTCAAAACAACAGTAACGAAAACAAAAATATTACCTATCCCCCAAACAACAAAAGGACATTCCAGAAGACTAAAAAGAGAAAAACTTCCTCTAAATAACAGTGACAGTAAAGTTCCATCATGCCTCCTTCCCCAATTCTACCCCTACACTCTACTGTCAGATGCACAATAGTGAACATAACCAGCTATTTAGCAGGCTCTGCTGTTACCTGTAGGGCATGGCTTTGTAAAAGATGTTCAGTGGCTGGGGACCCGCGGTATACTTGCTGATGATCAGTGGCAGTACTATCTGCAGAGGAACCATCGGGACGGCCAGTAAGGCGAGATGTTCCTTAGGCACCCCCTCTTCTACCAGTTTCAGGCCTGTCACGGCATCTGCTGCTGAAAAGCCAATCTGCAACAAACGAACAGAAGTGGGTTAGCATCTGACACAGGAGATGCCTATGTCAAGACACAGGCAAGTCCGACAAAACCTCCAGTCTCATCTCTTAGCCCACCAGTCACAAGTGCAAAGTTGTCAAGTTACAGAAGGTGTATTTTGCACTTTGGTTTACTAATATTATGTAGTGAAAAACAATAGAAAATGCAATACTGGTAGAACTGTAGTTAATTTTAATTACAAATACATTTCCACTTTGAAAAAGTTCAATCCAGGCCTTTAATCCGATCCTTTAGGAGGCAGCAGCAGCAGCAGCAGGCAAACTGCTGTGAGTTCTAAGCCATCCTGGTCTATATAGTGAGTTTCAGGACAGCCTGGGCTATGTAATGAGACTCTGTCTCAAAAAAGCATAAATCGGTTGAAGAGGCATGCTTTTCAGCCTCACTCTCATTAGGCAGATGTAGGCAGTTCTCTGGAAATTCGAGCCAGCCTGGTCTACATAGAGATCCAGGACAGACAGAGCAATGTAGAGGGACCTTCCCCTAAAAAAAAATATATATAAAAACAAAACACCAAACATCAGTTCAATCTATTGTAAGTTTAAAATTGTACTGTTTTCTATATCATAAATTTAAAAGAAAAGTTTCTGGTTAACCATAAATAAATTTGATCAAAATGAAGACTCGCTGACATTTTTTGACGATTTTTCATAAATTAAAATAAAAATTTCCAAACATATCTAACATTTCAAAATCAATTTTAAGAAAACAGTATACTGGAAAGGTTGAATAAAATATGGAAAAATAGCCTGGCATGGTGGCATACACCTTTAGTCCCAGCACTTGGGAGGTGGATCTCTGAGTTCAAGGCCAGCCTGGTCTACAGAGCCAGTTCCAGGACAGCCAGGGCTATAAAGAGAAAGCCTGTCTAGGAAAAAAAAAAAAAAGCAGAAAAAGTATAATTAATTAGATTTTTTTTGTTTTGTTTTAGCTGTTTTTGTTTCTCTGTATACCCTCGCTGTCCTGGAACTTGCTCTTTAGACCAGGCTGGCCTCAAACTCACTGAGATACACCTGACTCTGCCTCCCAAGTGCTGGGATTAAAGGGAACGCCACCACCACCCGGCTTAATGAGATTAATTCTTAAACATCAATAAAGAGTAAGGATGATAAAAGTGGAGACAACGTTTGAACTAAGACAGCTAGTCCCGAGGATCTTCTTAGAAGTCAGTTTAGTTACAAAAGAACAAACTATAACTTCATAAAGCAATCAAAACCTAGAAAACATCAGGGGATAAGAGCATGATATAGATTCCACGATTCCCTGGAGACACAGAGATATGACTTCTGTGATGCTCCTACAAACCTATGCATAACCCGACTCCAACACAGAAGGCCACTCTATAGAATCTGGTCTTTTTGGGGGGTGGGGTTTTTGTTTATTTGGTTTGGTTGATTTCTGTGAGTTTGAGGCCAGTCTGGTCTACAGAGTGAGTTCTAGGAAAGCCTAGGCTACATAGCACAGTGAAACCCTGTCTTAAAAAGATGATGATGAAGAATCATGAAGGGGAACATGGGAGGCCGGGGCAGGGGGCGGAGTGATGCAGATTCAGTGCTTACTTTTGAAGTTCTCAAAAGAAAATATTAACTAAGAGGGAAAAAAAGAATTGCTATGCAATTAACAACATTTGCTGTGAAGACTCCCTACACAGAGAAAATATTCTCCTTATGTAATGATTTTTAAGTAAGAACGTCAAGAGACAGCAAGCCATGCATAACGACAGATCTATAATACCTCCCAGTACAGCCCCGCTTCTTTCCCAGACACTTGCTGGGAATCGCACGAGACTACTGATTTGTTTACTATAAAAATACCTGAGCTCCCCACTGAAAACCTTGTGACTAAGTCCTTACCTTATCAGCATTACTCCTGTCCAATGCACCTCAGCGGTCACTCTGATCGCATTTGTTCCTTTACAGCTCTCTCAGATGCAGCTTCAGAAGCAAAATCATCTCTGGTTTCTACAGACTCCCTGAGAAGCCTATGCCCCCACCTGAGCCCACATTCTCATTTCCCTTAATACCTCCAATTTTTCAACTTTGTTCTATACTGACTTACCCTGAAAAAAACATTTTTTTTTCCAGCTTCACCTGAGCAGACAGGCCTCTGAAAAGAACCCCCTCATGCTGCTAAAGGTGGAAGCAGAGAGAGGTCTCTCTGCCCTTACCTCACTTAACTGTCCGGAAAGAGCCACTATTTAAAAAATAAATGCCTAGAAGTATATACTATGTAATCCCTAGAGCCTGGTGATTTAACTCCTCAGTATTAACCTAAGAGTAACAAGCATAAAGGTTCACAAAACACCTACACGAATATTTACAGAGATACTATTCATAATAAACCACACCCACCTAAACAAATCCTGAAAAATAAATACCAGCATACTCATAAAATGGAATTTAGAGTAATGAGACGAACAAACTATCTCTATAAATAACATACATTAGATGTGATACACACCATAGTCCTCACACTTGGGAGACGGATGCAAGGAGCTTAAGCATTCAACACTGAGCTTGGAAGAAGGCTAAGCTATTAAGAGTCCTAGGTGCTCTTCCAAAGGACAGGGGTTCAGTACCCAGAACCAACATGGCAGCTCACAGCCATCTGTAACTTTAGTTTTAGGGGATCCACCATCCTCTTCTGGCTTCTACAGGTACTGCACACATGTGTTACAGACATACATTCAAGCAAATTACCCATATACATAAAATAAAGATAAAGAAATCTTTTTTTAAAAAAAACACTATTCAACATTATCATCAGCTATATACTGTCTGAAGCCAGCTCCTAGGCTACATGATGATACTGTCTCATGTATCATGAGAAAAAAAAACTCATAGCAAATTTACATATTATGACTATTAATGTAGCTATTTAAACATAATTAAAATACGAATGATACCAGGATATGTCTGGAATAGGACAAAAACTATAAAATTACACACAATGATTCAATTCTACTTTTAAACTGTTGTAAAAACATATATATGAAGTAGGCATATACACAGATATGTGCACACATATAACAGAGAAAAGAAACTCAAATAAACCAGCAATCCAAAGGCAGAGGTAGGAAGATCTCTGTGAGTTCAAGGCCAACCCGGCCTACGTATTGAGTTCTAGGCAAGCAAGGGATGTAGAGTGAGACCCTATTGCAAAAACAATAGAAAACAAAGGAACATGCCAAAAAGTGTTCATTTCTAAATGACTGACTGAATATAATGTTATCTTCTAACTATGTCTCCATCATTAAAGGAGTAACTCATTAAAATGAAGACAATGAAACTACAGTATTTACTTTATTTAGGCCTGTTATAAAGTGTTCATGTAGATGGATTTTTTAAATGCTGTAAAAGTCTAGACTGTGAGACTATGCTACAGGAATATACTTGCTTACCTTGCTTCAAGCATAAGAGCTTTAAGTTTTAGGGCTACAAAACTGAGCCTTATTTTGCTTTCTGCGACAGGGCCTTACACTATAACCTAGGTTGGCCTTGATGTCACATTAATCTTCCTGCCTCAACTTCCCCTGTACTGGGACTACAGGCATTAGTTACAATATCTGGCTAAGCAAAGACTTTGAGGCAGGGGAGGTTCAAGGCAGGGTTTCTTTATGTAGCCTTGGCTGTCCTGGAACTCACTCTTCCTAAGTGCTGGGATTAAAGGTGTGTGCCACTACCACCTGGCCAAGCAAAGACATCTTCATGAAGAATGTAAATTACCAGTAATCCTATTTGTTTCATGGTAAATTTCCTTTCAATATTTTGAAAAAAATAATTCAATAGATTTTTAAATACATATACACTTCCTTATCTTTGTAAGCCACATTCTCAGTAAATGACATTACACCCCAATATTAAGGACGCGATCCTTACAATAGTAGAAAACTATTCACTTCAAGGTGTTCACTCTCATTTCAACCGTTACTATTGTCAACAGTATCTACATATGGACATAACTTCAAGATTCCAAGATGTATAGCTTACTTAGATGTGATATTTGAAATCACTTAAAAATATATTTAATACGCAGGAAATATTGCTTTTCAGTTTTAAATCCTATGGTATTAGAAGGGGACTTATGAAAAGACATTGAAAGTATTCCGTGATAATAATAAATTTGTTTAAAAATCTCTTACCTTTGAAGTTAGAATCAGAAGGCAAAATGCCAGAACTGCTGGCATTTTTATAATTGCAAACAGCAGCTTGTAAGTATCTGTAATCCCTTGGGTTTCTTCTTTTACTACTGACACTTCCTTGTTTTCTTTTTTCAGAAGGGCTACTAATGTCGTTGTTATTAAAAATACAGTTCCCCAGAAAAAAAGAAAATCTGAAATTAAGAATGTTTTAGTCTATAATTAATTTTTGAAATATAACTTCATTGATAATAAATAAAATACAACTTTCCTTAACTAAAAATACCCTAATGTTATGCTATAAACTTTGTTTGAGGCACAGCAGATGAATGAAGTCGTCCTGACTCTTTAAACATACAGACACAAAACTGACTAATACTTACCTTTGGGGGAAGGCTACAGATCTAATTTAGATAAGGGAAAGAAAAGATTTTTACACCACATAAGGTTCATTGGCTATAGTTACACACCCAAGCATTTCCTGTATTAAATTATGACAATTTAGATGATAAAGAATGCATGATTGAACCAAGCACAACGGTGCACACCTGTAATCCCAACACTCAGGAGGCTTTTGAGGCTAGTTTAGGCTACAAAGTTAATCCAAGGCCAGCCAGAGATACACAGCAAGACCATCTCAAAAAGAGAAATAGCCGGGTGGGCTGGAACATCCCAATAATTCTAGCACTTGGGAAGCTGAGCCAGAAGGGACAAGACTTAGGATCATCCTTCACTAGACAGTGAGTTCAAAGCCAGCCTAGCGTATATATACACCTGTTTTTAAATGAAAAACTAAACACTCCATTCCAAACCAAACACATGATTATTTGCTTCAGATGTCCACCACAAGTGTGAGTGTGTGCTGTGTGTGTGTAATATATGTGTCAGAGTACAGATGCAGGTTCCTGAGGAGGTCAAACAACCCTGGGGAGTCTGCCTCCACTGTGGGTTCTAGAGATTGAACTCAGATGGTCAGGCTTGCACAGCAAGTACCCATTGAACTCTCTTTGCCAGCTCATATTTTAATTTTTTTATTTCTAAACTTTGTACATGTTTAATCTCTTTAAGATTAACCTCTTTGCAGTATCTGCAGATGAAGACACGGTGTACTGTCTGTATTGTTTCACGGAAGGAGCTTGAACAAGTGTATAGGTGGGAGAGAACAATGGTTTAGAAGAGCCTTCCTAACAGCCAGAAAGAACAGCAGTAATAGAGCACACACAAGATATGAATGTGCAAAGCATGGTTACACACATCCCCTCTGTAATATACACTGTATGATAAACTACCAAATGCTGCCCGAGCTCACTACGAAGCTGCCATAGGAGTTGCCCCTTGATTCAGACATGAACACATCTGTCTCAACGTGTCCAGTACTCACACCTAGTGGCCTGTAACGCCAGCTCCAGGTGCCTCTGGCCTGTAACGCCAGCTCCAGGTGCCTCTGGCCTGTAACGCCAGCTCCAGGTGCCTCTGGCCTGTAACGCCAGCTCCAGGCCTCTGGCCTGTAACGCCAGCTCCAGGTGCCTCTGGTCCCCGTGAGCCTATACACTTGTACTCATTAAAAATAATAAAGTGAGGGGCTGGAGAGATGGCTCAGTGGTTAGGAGCATTGCCTGCTCTTCCAAAGGTCCTGAGTTCAATTCCCGGCAACCACATGGTGGCTCACAACCATCTGGAATGAGGTCTGGTGCCCTCTTCTGGCCTGCAGACATACACACAGACAGAATATTGTATACATAATAAATAAATAAAAAAAATAATAATAAAGTGAGACAAATGAAGATTTGTTTAGAGTTTAACTTAAGCAGTATTTTCATTAAGAAAGCTTTTTTTGGTGGTTTAATAATTCTGCCAACAGAAATGCCAATTAAAAGTTTTGATAAGAATTAAATGACCAGCCGGCCATGGTGGTGCACACCTTTAATCCCAGTACTCAGGAGGCAGAGTCAGGCGAATCTCAGTGAGTTCAAGGCCAGCCTAGTCTACAAGAGCTGGTTCCAGGACAGGCTCCAAAGCTGCAGAGAAACTGTGTCTTGAAAAAAAAAAAAACACACAAAACAAAACAAAACAAAAAAACCAGGTCTATACAGAGAAACCCTGTCTTCAAAACAAAAACAAATAAACAAAAAAGAATGAAATGAAAAGTATAGATTCTTCCATTATACTTTAGGTTATGGGAGCTTCACTTCTCAAGGAAAATTTGCTTACTACATCTTAACGAGTCTAATGAAAAAAATCTTCAACTAGAATTTAAATCCCTTTATGCCAATGCCAACAGAAGGACATGGTATGCACAGGCAAGACTATTTCTGATTTCCTTGTGCTCTGAGGGAAATAAAGCATGAAGAACAGGAAAGAAAGTCTAATCCCTGCTGCAGCATAACCACTAACCACACTGGCCATGTCTGTTGTTCGTTAACATCGCTTCCAGAGTACAGTGTACTAATCACGGTGAAAGTACACAATCAGCTCTCCAAAATGACCAAGATGACAAAGGTGATGTCCTACTTTCACAAACACGCTATTTGACTGAATATTCAAAAGTGCCTACAAGAACTTGTCTAATACACCCACGAATGCAGACATTAAGAGCAGGTAGTAATTCACCACTGATGAATAAAAATATAAAAGTTGGCCAAGCAGGGAGGGCGTGTGCCTCTGATCTGCACTAGGGAGGCAGAAAGCAGGTACTCAAGGTCAGCCTGGACTAAAGAGCAAGTTCAAGGACAAGACAGCCAGTGTTACACAGAGAAACCCTGTCTCGGAAAAAAGAAAATTTTTTTTTTCACACACACACACACACACTTAATATAAATTCTGGAACACCAGTCCATTGTAAGCTCAGGCGAAAAGCAGTACAAAGAAAAGCAAAAGCTCAAGGTCAGGGACCTGGCAAAAGGGTTCAGCCAGGAACCATACCTGCTGTACAAACCTGACCACTTGAGTAGAATCTCTGGAGCCCACATAAAGGTAAAAGAGAACTGTCTCCACTTAGCTGTCCTCTGACCTCCACGGACACATACGTAAGTGTGCATATACACACATAAATAAATAAACAATATATCAACCTTAAAATTTTTAAAAAGAGAGGCTGGAGAGATGGCTCAGAGGTTAAGAGCATTGTCTGCTCTTCCAAAGGTCCTGGGTTCAATTCCCAGCAACCACATGGTGGCTCACAACCATCTGTAATGGGGTCAGGTGCCCTCTTCTGGCCTGCAGGCATACTCAGAGACAGAATATTGTGTACATAATAAATAAATAAATTTAAAAAAAATTTTAAAAAGAATTCATCTTATGTATCTTACTATATGGTGTCATTATAGAGCTCATGGTGTATTTTTACAGTGGCTGGTAGTTCAAGCTATGGATATTCTTCCACATCAATCTTACAGGGAAATAGCTTAGTAAGGAATATTAGGACAAGGCAAGGTAGCACACACCTTTAATCCCAACACATGGGAAGCAGAGGAAGAGGCAGGTAGATTTTTCTGGATTTGTGGTCAACCTGGTCTACATAGTGACTTCCAGAGTAGCCAGGACTGCCTAAGACCCTGTCTCAAAAATCAAAATCAAAATACCACATCAGGTTCCAATATTCCTTTATAATCATACTATTCTGTAAAACTAGTAAACTATGAAACTATCAAAGTAACTAAAGTGAAAAACAGCAAGACTACCAAATGCTGTCAATCACAGAGAGAAAATGAGTTATTCACTTGGGGGCTAAAAGGGAAATCAAACAGCACAAACAGTACCTACCTACCACAGTGTGATGTACACCTGTAACCCGGCATTTGACAGGCTAGTGGAGGAGAGAGGGAGCATTGCTCGTGTAACAACTATAAAGACCAAAAGCAAGCCCAGCTGACGGCACACACTTGCAATCCTAGAGTTTGAGGCAGCACACTGTCAATGACTCTAGGATAGCCAGGACAGCTGGGTTACAGTGATGCTCTGCTCTCCCGTTAAAAAAAAGCTGTGGAGCCGGGCGGTGGTGGCGCACGCCTTTAATCCCAGCACTCGGGAGGCAGAGGCAGGCGGATCTCTGTGAGTTCGAGACCAGCCTGGTCTACAAGAGCTAGTTCCAGGACAGGCTCCAAAACCACAGAGAAACCCTGTCTCGAAAAAACCAAAAAAAAAAAAAAAAAAAAAAAAAAAAAAAAAGCTGTGGATAAGAGGAGCGTGACAACAGAAAGGAATCTTAAGGTAAACTAATCAGTCAGCCATGACTGTCGTGTTAGTTACTGTCTATACATACATGGAGTAAAACTGCATGCAAACACACACACACACAACCATATACACGGCCACCTACCCTCTCCCACATGGCTTATTAGTGAAATCAAAGTCAACAGTTTATATCCCCACACCGACTTCTTGGCATGGTATTTAGCTAGTCATGTGCATGTACATGTATGTATGTGTGGGGTGGAGGTCAGCGGACTACTTGTGGGAAATAGTTTTCTTTCTTCATCATATGGATCACAGGGATAGAAACACAAGTCATCAGGCTTGGCAGCAGGCACCCTAGACACTGAACCATCTTGTTTGTATTGATATTTTAGTATAAGACAATATTTTAATGTTATCCCTAGTAGTACAAAAATCCCTTACCACTTCTGGGGGGGTCACCTAACTTCTCCCCACACAACTGAATGAAAGTCAATTATTTTATTATCGCTCTTATTATTGTATGCATGTGCACGGCACACACATCACAGAGTACATGTGAAGGTCAGAGGGCAACTTTTGGGAGTTGGTTCTCTCCTCCCACTGTGGGTTCCAGGAATCGAAATCCTGTCTTAGGCTTGAGGTGCAAGCACCTTTTCTCTGACTGAGTCCTATATATACATACTTATCTTATTTTAAAGCAAACTTAAAAGCCATGTGGGGGCTGGAGAGGTGGCTCAGCAATTAAGAGCACTGGTTGCTCTTCCAGAGGACTCACATTTGGTTCCCAGCACCCACATGGTGGCTCTGCATAGGTCAGTTAAAAAATTAAAACTTTAAGCTATCACTTCTAAGAACAAGGGATTCTAAAAGTGGGTGATCTTTTCAGCTACATGGAGCCACAAAGCTGCATTGGTCTGAAAAACAAAAGACAACAGCTCCATCAGCACATATTTAGATCTAAAGGTTTGCCATGAGGTTTTTCTATCGTCCCACCAATTACAGGCAAAATATTAGATTAAAAGCCACGAACAGGGCTGGAGAGATGGCTCAGTGGTTAAGAGCATTGCCTGCTCTTCCAAAGGTCCTGAGTTCAATTCCCGGCAACCACATGGTGGCTCATAACCATCTGTAACGAGGTCTGGTGCCCTCTTCTGGCCTGCAGACATATACACAGACAGAATATTGTATACATAATAAATAAAAAAAAAAAGCCACGAACACCTAAGCTCCAAGAGTACATGTCCCTAATTAGTTGCTTGATAGCAGTTTTGTCATCATAAAAATGAAGAAAGAAATGCATCTCTCTCTCTCTCTCTCTCTCTCTCTCTCTCTCTCTCTCTCTTTCTTGTCTTTGAAATCCCTTCCTGCTTAAAGGGTCTCTCTTTGCCTGTCCAGGATCTTGGAAAACAAAGGGTATAAGAAGGAAAAGGCCTCCTTCTGCATTTGGGACTGTCCTGAAGCCATGAAAAAGCCAGTCAGTAGACTCAAAGTTTTGATTTTATCTCTTCTCATCATCCCTCTCTCAATTTGCCATCCAGATGACTGCCTTCTAAAGTCAAAACTGTTCTTTTTCAGTACATTCCTTACGCAGTACCTGTGATTAATTACAGAATTAAAAAAAAATTAAAGGTTTGTTTACTTTCATGTGTATTAGTGTTTTCCCCGAATGTATGTGAGTGCACTTTGTGTTCCTGGTGTCTATGGAGGCCAGAAGAGGGTACTGGGTCCTCCCAAACTGGAGTTATGGAGGGCTGTAAACCACCATATGGGTGCTGGGAGCCAAACTCAGGACCCCTGCAGAGCAACAAGAGCTCTGAACCAGAGTTAACACTCAAGTCCTTGGCTGTTTGGTTTGCTTCTAAGTTATGGATTCTAATATGGGGATTTTCTAGAGAGTGTGTTTCTCTCCTCTTTACATACCTAGGCAATGGTATTTCCTTCTATGATTTCAGGGCCTTAAATTCCTCAAAACCACCCGCTGGTTAAACTGAGCGTGGTGGTGCATAACTTAAGTACGTGGATGCTGAGATGGATGGGCATTTGATACCAGTCTAGACTCCTTTCAATATCTCAGGACTAAACAAAGGTCAAGAGGGAAACAAAAGGAAAAACTCCCAGTGGCTAATGGGATAGGGACTCAGCACAGTGGAAACAGTCTGCCTTTTATGCAGGAGTACTGGGCTCATTTCCCAGCACCAGGGACACACAAACAGAAACAGAATCCACAGAATTTAGTTTCGCTATTACCAAGTCACAGAAACCTCAAAACTGGTAATATGATATGTGTAAGTATTAAAGTTAATGCTTTAACTCTTTAACTCAAAATGTTTTAAACAAAATCAAAAGTACAGAAAGAAAAGTTAAATTTTAAAGTGAACTATTTTAGAATCTTCTGGAGAACAAAGTTCTTCAGTTATTCAAACAGCTATTCAAAAAAAAAAAAAACAGCATCAGCCTAAATAAAGATCCAACCATGAGAAATGTCAACTGTTATCTCCACCACAGTCAATGGCTGGCTGCTCTGGGCCTCTCCGATGTCCATCTCTACTGTTCTTAGTTGGCAGGCACGCTCATTTGCAGAAGGCCCTTAGAACCCTGTCACTTTGCCAAGTGCGGAATGCTTCTATTTACTGCCCTGACCATTCGACAGACAGCTAGAGAGGATGACCTGTCAAACAGCAAAGCTGGGAAAGGTTCAGAAAGCGAGAAACTAGACAGCTCAGTCCACTGAAACACAAAAGAAAAATGTAAACCGTGCTTAAATGAATGTTTTTAAAATATGCACTTGTGGCCGGGCGATGGTGGCGCACGCCTTTAATCCCAGCACTCGGGAGGCAGAGGCAGGCGGATCTCTGTGAGTTCGAGACCAGCCTGGTCTACAGAGCGAGTTCCAGGACAGGCTCCAAAGCCACAGAGAAACCCTGTCTCGAAAAACCAAAAAAAAAAAAAAAAAAAAAAAAAAAAAAAAAAAAAAAAAAAAAAAAAAAAATATGCACTTGTGCATCAAGAAATGCCCATAGATCATTATCTCAAAATTTTGTTATTTTTATCAGTTACTTTCACTTTTCACTGAAGAGTACTTACTGATCAATATCTGTGCTAATGTCAAAGGCTGGCTTTAGCAATACTTGAAAGAAACACATTTTAACAAAACAGGCCACACACTTAACTCATCTACCATCTAGATGCCTGGTAAACTTAATAAAAAAGCCAGGTGTAGGGGCACATGCTTGTAGTCTCAGCACTCAGGAAGCTGAAGCTGGACTGAACTCGAGGCTGGCTATGCAGACCCTTAAAAAAAAATCCAGTAAACAGAATTCAGAAATAACCCAAACTCAAAAGGAAAAATGTCACATGATTTCTCTCCTACAACGAATCCAGAAGGGAAAAACATTGTGTGTGAACTATTTGAAGGAAGAGGACTAGGAGGGAGGAGGAGAGAAGGGTGTGTTAAGGAAGAGAGCATGAGCAAAGTACATATATACATGTATGAAAATCTCATAATGAAAGTCAATGTGGTGTGTGTTCATTTTAAAGAGAAATGATGTAAAATATTTTGTGCGTCATTAAAAAAAATTAAACGCAAGCAAAAGAGAGAGCCCATCCAAAGTTTCGCGTCAAAAGCATTCACAAGCATAAAATCAAGCTGACAGTATAATAGTTTGGTACACTACCTGAAAGGGTAACGATTCCCCTGGGCTGAGGCTGAAACCGCAAATATTTGTTACAAAAGTCAGCAGATTCAAGAGCCAAAAACAAAACATTGCCCAAAAAATAGCCTGCTGTTTGGCCCACAGAATTGCATGTGGAAGCATAGCCCACGTTTTCCCGGGATAACATAGTTAACGCCCAACCGTCCACAGCGATGTCCTGAGTGGCGGCCAGGAATTCAAACAAGAAGAATGCCACAGTGAGAGCAACGACATCGGGTGTTCTACCATCAGTATTTCCGAGCAAATGGTCCACTTGGGTGGATAAATATATCATGAAGAGTCCTAGTATGTACTGAGTAGGGACAAGCCAGGACTTTCGACGACCGAAGTTCTTAAAGTAGACAGCATCAACCAAGGGCGCCCAGAGCAACTTAAGACTGAAAGGCCAGAAGACAAAACTAAAGAAAGCCTGGTCTGTGTAGCTAACATTTTTGCTCTGCAAAATGAGAGGGATGCTTCCGGCCAGGCCTAAGGGAATGCCCTGGAGCACGTAAAGAAAGAGCAGTAACAAAATGCTACTTAGTTCGGCTCGGTAGCTCCGCGGAGCTTTTGGGAAGTCACCGGGGCTGCCATCCCCAAGAAGAGCTTCTCGGTCCCCCTCCCCGCCCACAGAGTCCGAGTGACTGTCATCCCAGGCGCCCGGCGGCAGCGGGCCAGTCTTCATATCCAGAGCGTGGCTGAACATGCCTGGCCGCCGCTGCCGACTGCTGTCCTTGTGGGAGATGGTCGGTGACATATCAGAGACGACTCAGAGCCCGGTCTATGGTGGCCTGGCGTTTTGGATCAATCTAGTCCCAGGTCCAAGGCAGCCGCTCTGGACCAGGGTCTCGGGGGCTCACCGCCAGGAGGGCGGACACGGGGAGACTGCTCGCTGTTCTGCAGCACGGATCCAGATTCCCCGGCCGGTGGCCCAGGCAAAGCCTGGGTCGCTGCCCCGAGGAGCCGCTTCAGGGAGTTTGCAGGAGCCCCCGCGGCGACCGCGCCGGGCTCGAGGCTGGCGGAGCGGGCCGTGGCGCTGCGATGGTGGCGGGCTCGCAACTGCGGCGGTACCCGAACGCCCGCCTGCCCGCCCGCTGCCAGGAGGTCTCCGCTGCCCCAGCAGCCTGCGCCCTGCTCGGCCGACACCGGTGGTACAGGATGACTTCCTGCCTCGCGCTCCGGGAAGTGGTTCCTTTCCCAAATAAGTCCCCCGCCCGCCCCCTTTCCAAGCCAACCAATCAGGGCCAGCTCCGGTGGTGGCGTTACCGAACGACGTTTGCTAGGAACCATTAATTCCCTCGATTCTGACGCCAAGGGAGGAATAACGCCTGCGTACCGAACGTCTAGGATAAAGCGACGCAAATGCCGGGATTCCGGTTGCGCATGCGCTCGCGTGGAACTCGTGGGCCTAAGCTATTGGGCTCTCGTCGCCACGTGAGCAAAGGTTTTTTTTTTTTTTTTTGCTTTTTTTTTTTTTTTTCTTGCGGGACTGGCCCATTCCCTGGTAATATTGTGCAGGGTCAGAGGCTGCAGTGAGTTTAGGAGACTTTGTCTTTGTGTTTATTTAATGCAGTACAAAACTTCCCGCTGGAGGTTCCCGTAACTCCTCTGCCCTGTGGGCCCGCCAGAAAGGTTAGGACTCTTTGGTATCAGGATGCAGGCGGCTTCGTGCCCGGCTAAATGGAAACACGGTTATCTTATCCACAGAACGAATGAGGCTGTCCTATTGCCCCAATTTGATGGAATAAGTGTTGGGGACCGCTAGGTACACAGGGTGAATGAGATGAATTTCAATCTGCTGCATCATATTTTTATGCCATGGCAACTTCTTGAAGCTACCATCCTTGGCATCCACAGTTGTGCATTTTAAGTGACTTCTCTTTCTTTCTTTCTTTCTTTCTAAGAATCCTTGGAAGCTCATGGAGCTGCAAAGGTTGAGATAATAGATTTAGTATTTCTGTGATGCCGAAGAAAGAGCTTTTCTAAAAATTTTTATTGAATTCATGATTGGCCAGTTTTCAAACGTCACTGCAAACATAATGGCAATGCTTTCTTCATTTTAAATGCTGTCAGTTTTGTTGCGCTTTTGCTGATTTTGCTTTCTCTTCCTTCCACAGCTTATTAACGACTTAGCAATCATACTCTTATCATTCTTCTTGTCTTCTCTAACTCCTCCCTTCTTGTCATTCATTTTATGGATGCCACATCATTGGAGTTTTTGTTTTCAGACAGGGTCTTACTGTGTAGTCCATAGTGACATCCCAAATGGTAGGGTCAAAAAAACAAATTAATTTACTCTATTATTTTTTATTCTTTAGTAATACTTTACATGTATACATGTGTCTTGATCATATACAGTTCTCCCACTTTCCCCACTTGAACCCCTCCCACATTTGTATCTTTTTTTTTTTTTTTTTTTTTTTTTTTTTTTAGAGCTCACTGAGTGCAACAATTGTTTCATATCTTTGGGTCTAACCACTGGAGCATGGGCAATCTGCAGCAACGGTACTCTGGAAGAAAAATAACTCTTCTCCCAGCAGCCGACAATTGTCAACAGCTCCTAAGTTTGGGGTGGAATCTTCTGAGTCCCCCTCCCAGCCATGCTGTAATGTTGAGTGGATTGATCGTGTTCAGGTAATCATAGCTACTGTGAGCTCGTGAGTGCAATGGCCATGTCATGTTCAGAAGGCAGCATTTCTACATCATCCGCCAGCTCTCACAGGGACCCCTGAGTTTTGGTGGGGTAGCAGGGAATGGTTAATATAAACGTCTCATTTAGGACTGAGTACTCAACTATCACTTATTTTCAGCACTTTGATCAGTTGAGGTTTTGTATGGACTGCTGTCCAATGTAGAAAGTAGGTTCTGTGACAAGGGCTGAAAGCGGCACTAACCTAAATTTCCCCTCCCAGGACCACTGATCTCTCCAGTGGCTTTTGACTAGTCTTGCAGCAGTAGGCATGAATTTCCTTTTATGGCACAGGCAGCAGATCTATTCAGTAAGCAGCTGGTTAAGTTACTTATTTATTGAATTTGTTGTGGTTATTTAGACAAGACCCTATTATTTTATTTTTAGGAAGGGCCTCATATAGCCCTCATACTTACTATGTAGTCAAGGATGGCCTTGAACTTCAAGGTGCTAGGAGTACAGGCATGTGCCATTATGCCTGACTTTTGTCAGTATTTTAAATAATTTGTTCTGGGCTGGAGAGATGGCTCAGAGGTTAAGAGCATTGCCTGCTCTTCCAAAGGTCCTGAGTTCAATTCCCAGCAACCACATGGTGGCTCACAACCATCTGTAATGGGGTCTGGTGCCCTCTTCTGGCTTGCAGGCATACACACACAGACAGAATATTGTATACATAATAAATAAATAAATATTTTAAAAGAGAAAAAAGGAAAAAAAATAAATAAATAATTTGTTCTAATATTACTCCTTAGCTATAGTACTGATTTCTCTTTAGTGGATATGTTGTGGGACTTTCTCTTGAATGAGCACTCTGACCCCAGTGAGAGTGGAATAAAGACGCCATCAAAGCCAGGACAGTTCCTGAAAGCCCTTGGTATGGGGTCCAGTTTGCATCCTCATTTTATACTTTAAGACCACAAAGTGAAGTGAGCAAGCAATTGAGATTCCACAGAAGCCTGCCTGGCACCCAGCTTTTTGTTTCCTAAAGACACATATTACAGTTGACAGGTGTACGCTTTTCTGGTCAGGTTGTTAAAGGTAACAATCTGTTGTGTTTTCGCTATTTCTCTAGGCCGATCTGTTCCAGGTGCCAGAGTGAAGTCATGTTGGAAATGAACTGTGTGAGCAGTGCTGATGATTGGTCTGTCCTGCCTTGTTCTACTTCAGCTAAACTATCATTTACTCAATGCTAAATTTCTGCAGCCAACTAAAAAATACAACAGGAGAAAATTACCAGTGCAAAATTTTAGGGAAGAGTTTTGTATTTATCCAGGTCTGTGTTTGTATGCATAATATTTTGTGTATGATTTTGTTTTTTAATGGATGGTGATAATACAAAGCAAACAAAAACTAAAACAACCTTCCAACCAGAAAAGCCTTGAGCCAGATGTGGTCACACCCATGTTATAATCACAGCACTGAAGAGGCTAAGGAAGAGGTTCACAAGTTGCATGCTAGCCTGAGCTACATAGTGAGCTCTGAGACTACAGACCTGTCTTAAGCTTCTGCCTCCAGGACTCCCCTGTTACATCCTCCCTTGAGCTGTGAACCAAAACAAACCCTCCCCCCCCCCCTCTCTCTCTCTCTCTCTCCTGCTCTCTCTCTCTCTCTCTCTTTTTGTTTTTGTTTTTCGAGACAGGGTTTCTCTGTAGCTTTGGAGCCTGTCCTGGAGCTAGCTCTTGTAGACCAGGCTGGCCTCGAACTCACAGAGATCCACCTGCCTCTGCCTCCCAAGTGCTGGGAATAAAGGCATGCGCCATCACCACCCAGCTTCTCCTTCTCTTAAGTTGCTTCTGTCAGGGTGTTTTATCACAGCAACAGGTGATAAAAATAATTCATATATAACTGTTCCTCAGTTGTGAACCTGTGAAATATGTGTTATAGATTTCCAAATTTCAGTAATGAAGTCTAGCATGGTGGCTCATGCCTGTCATCCCATAACTTGCATTCCATGCAAGCCTTGGCAACTGAGTGAGATGCAGTCTCAAAAAAAAAAAGAGTATAGTTGTATGGCAGGAATATCTACATCTATAGAAATATATCTACTGGCAGTAGTGGCACACACCTTTAATCCCAACACTCACGAGGCAGAGGCAGGTGGATCTCAGTGAGTTCGAGGCTACCCTAGTCTACAAAGCAAGTTCCAGGACAGCCAGGGCTACACAGAGAAACCCTGTCTTGAAAAACCAAAAGAAGAGACATATATCTATAGAAAAAAGGAAAGAAAAAGATGGCAATTACAAATTACAAGGCACATTATAGGAAATCTAAAGGCTTGAGAATAATCCTTATCTTAGTCACTGTTCTAGAACTGTGAAGAGACACCATGATCATGACAACTCTTAGGAAAGAAAGCATTTAACTGAGGCTAGTTTACAGTTTAGTCCATTATCCTGGCATGAAACATGGCAACATATGGGCAGATATGGTGCTGGCAAAGTAGCTTCGCGTTCTACATCCAAATGCAAGCAGCAGGAAGAGAGAGACTCTGGGCTTGGAATGGGCTTTTGAAATCTCAAAGCCCACCCCCAGTGACATATTTCCTCCAACAAGGCCCACCACCTAATCCTTTCAATAGTGCCACACTCTGGTGACCAAGTATTCAAATCTGTGAGCCTATGGGGCCATTATCATTCAAACTACCACATTCCTCTTGGCTTTTGGATTGTCTGTGGTGGAGATCCTGCCCTTGCAGATCTACCTAGCCAACTTCCTCCCAGTGCTGTGCCAGTCAACCTGGCCCCTGCAGCTTTGTGCAGAAGCTGTTTGTAGTCCAGGTTGGCCTTTGCCATACTTTTGCTATATAGCTGAGGATGACCTTGAACTTCTTATCCTCCTGTCTTGGGCTAGGATTATAGGCGTGCACCACCACACCTAATTTAGTAGTGCTTGGGTATCAAACTCCAGGCTCTGTTCATGTTAAGCAAGTATTTTACTAATGGGGCTATAGCTCCAGCCATATTAGGGCTTTTAAAAGAAAGATAAACCAGGTATGGTGGCTTAAAAGGTGAAAGTAAAATGTTCCTAAAGGTTTTAATTCATAAATATCCTGTTTTGTTGGTGGTGGTGGTGATGATTGTGTTTTTGTTTTGTTTCAAAATAGTATCTCTTTGTAGATTCTGGTTGGCCTGGAACTTGCTGTATAGACCTGGCTGGCTTCAAACTACAGCACTTCTCCTGGCTCTGCCTTCTGAGTACATGAGTTACAGGCACTTACCATCATGCCTGGCTCATAAATATTCAATTTTATGGCTGTTCAGTTTCCACCCACTGCAGAACACTACATCTCTCTGATGGTTCTTTGCCAGTTTATTGTAAGCTTTACCTTTTCCGGTTAGTAAGGTTTTCATTTCCATCTGAGTCTTCCTCAGGATGCCCTTTGCTATCTATATTTACACCAGCATTTCCTTCAGAATTACTTAAGTATTCTGTGGAAAGGCTGACCCATTCTCTGTAACTCTCTTATTTTCTTTTTAAAATTATTTTTCATTTACATATATGTTTGTGTGTGTTTGCTTGTCTTGGTGTGTACCACATATGTGCAGATGCCCTCAGAGGCCAGAAAGTGGCATGAGATCCCCTGAAAGAGGAATTACAGGCCATTTAACCAATGTGGGAGTGAAAACAGGTCCTCTCTATGGCAGCCCATGCTCTTATCTCTCATGCTTGGCTGTCTCTCAGCCCATCTGTGAGTGACAGATAGATGGCTGTTTTGTAGAATTTGGTCTGTCCACTGGCCTCTCACTTAGGACTGTCAGTTTGCAGGGAATTCTTGGTGGATGGGATTTGTTTGCACTGACAGTGATGACACCGCTGTGACGGTACTTCTCAGCCTGAGCCAGCCTCCTGGAACCCCCACTTTTCTTGTCACAGCCGACTCTCTAGGCCTTTCTTTACGGAGAGGCCAAATTGACGTTCCCAAACATATGAATGTTCCCTGATTTCAGGGCCTCAGACAGCTCAGTATTTATCTTTCTGTCTGTCTGTCTGTCTGTCTATCTATCTAGATATCTAAATTTTTCAAGACAGGGTTTCTCTGTAGCTCTTTTTTTTTTAATTTTATTTATTATGTATACAATACAGTGTGCTGCCTCCATGTATGACTGCAGGCCAGAAGAGGGCACCAGATCTCATTGTAGATGGTTGTGAGCCACCATGTGGTTGCTGGGAATTGAACTCAGGACCTCTGGAAGAACAGTCAGCATCCTTAACCTCTGAGCCATCTCTCCAGCCCTCTCTGTAGCTCTTGAGCCTGTCCTGGAACTCGCTCTGTAGACCAGGCTGGCTTCCAATTCACAAGAGATCTACCTGTCTCGGCCTCCTGAGTGCTGGAATTAAAGGTGTACCCCATCACCACCTGGTAACAGCTCAGCTTTTAAAGAATACATATCTTGCCAGGTGGCTGTGGCAGGTGCCTCTAACCCCAGTACTAGGGAGGTGGAGCTAGGCAGATTTCTCTGATTTGGAGGCCAGTCTGATCAATAAGAGCTAGTTTCAGGACAGCTAGAGCTGTTACACAGAGAAACCCTGTCTCGAAAATAGAAAACAAAAACAACAAACAAAAAGCACCACATCTTAAGTGAAATAATATGAGAAGATGCCATTTCTCTCTGCTTCTGCCCTGTCTATAGGAGGGATAACTGTCTCACCCTGTGGGCTTCACCTGAGGGAGAGCTGCAGGGCTTTCATCTGGCCATCCTCTTGACTGCTCTGGGCAACAGCTCCCCAGCCTTCTGTATTTGGCAGGGAGCTGTTTGACTGCGTTTAGCTTACTTATCTACTTGTGCAATGTTATTTATACTCTTCCCTGTATTTTTTCACTTCTTTTGTGAATTTCTAAAGCTTTTCCTTTCTGGTATAAAATATATTTTTTTCTGATTCTCTCTTTCACCAACTAATACAGAAGCAGCTTGGAGTCTACCATCTTAACAGAAATCTCTCTCTCTCTTTTTTTTTTTTTTGAGACAAGTTTTCTCTGTAGCTTTGGAGCCTGTCCTGGAATTTGCTCTGTAGACCAGGCTGGCCTTGAACTCACAGAGATCTACCATCACCCAGCTCACTGCTGATTTCTTGTTTGGTTGGCTCAGTCATCGGCTGATAAACTTCTTTTTTAAACTATTGCTGTTTATTTTGAGGCGGGGTCTCATGTTGCCCACGTTGGTTTCGACCTCGTTACGTAGCCCAGGCTGATCTGGAATTCATGGCAACCTGGCCTCAGTCTCCCAGTCACCATGATCAGACACTGGGTGTTTTCCTGTATTTAATTTTCTAGTCATCATTTACCTAACCAGAATAAACCTCAAAGGTCAGTTTGGCCAATTTAATAGGTTTTTTTTTGTTTGTTTGTTTGTTTTTGGTTTTTTGAGACAGGGTTTTTCTGTAGCTTTGGTGTCTGTCCTGGAACTAGGTCTTGTAGACCAGGCTGGTCTTGAACTCACAAAGATCTGCCTGCCTCTGCCTCCCAAGTGCTGGGATTAAAGGTGTGTGCCACCACCGCCCGGCTCACTTTTTTTTTCTTGATCACTGACATGTTTGATATGATACATACTCCCTTCTCCAGCCCATAAATAACCAAAGGCAGCTGGGTTATTCTCAACTTTATTAAACAGCACACTGGGATCTATTGACGTCTTTTGTTATTTTTCTTGTAGTCAGGCTGATTATGTTTCAGTTTAGAAAGTTCCTAATCTTTCTTGAATCTAGGGGGAAATGTTAAAAGAATATGTTTGTTTTTTCCCCTTTATTAACTACTGGAAATCCCAATAAGCTTTTATTTAGTTTATTGAAGAATTTTACCACAGGGATAGATGTGGCTTCATATGGTTTCTGAAAGGCCAGGGCACTTGGCTTAGAGAAAACATAGAAGCCAACGTCATTCAAATCCTAAATAGCAAGAAGTTGCAGCTGTAGTTTGCAGACTATTTTTCAAAAGCACAGAGTGATTTACTGCCAGGCTGTGGCCTCTGGTTTTTTTCCTGGGCTCCATTTCAGAAATGAATTCCACCATCTAGTGGCACCTTCCTGTAATTCTATGTTGGTGGATTTCTCAGCAGTTCACTATCATAAGAACTATTTCTTAATGTATTGTTTGGAATTTTAAAACTTAGTTTAGCACGGCAGTATCAGTTATTGAGGGTATCTCAGGTGAAGGGGAAGGAGGCTTGGAAGAATGGCATTTCCATTTGGAATAGCA